GGCACATAACCACCACCACCACCAGTGGAGTTCTGATTATTAAGCCATCGAGGCTGGGTCAAATGGGTACTATCTGCAAGTTTGGGTGTTCTTGTGTGTTTCCCCTCACGTCATATCAGCTGGATATTTCACTCTCAGCTCTAGCTCTCTGTGGCTATGTTCTTCCATAGGCTCAGGTGTTCCCAGGTCTCACAATGCTTTGGACCAACCAGCCCTTACTCTTCTGTCTCATCTACAGGTCAATGGGAGTCTATGGAATGTGGCTGAACTCAGCCCATTTCTTCATTGCTGCCTTTACCCCTTTTCCACTCACTAGTGGTTGTCAGCAAGCTAGCAAGCTTACATGCCTGCTCATGTGTTCCCTTTGAGTTTCAGTCTCGCCGGGGGTGGGGTGGGGGGGGAGGGCTATTAGCATTTATCAGCAGCTAACTGTGCCCTGAAAATTTCTAACCTTGAATTGTAACCTGTTAACTTCCCTTTATAACTATAAGTATTGTGTCTGAGTTCTGTGACCACCATAACGGATTATTGTACGAAGATGAGAAGTAAAGAGTGTCATGGGAAGGATGATAGGTGCTTAATATTTTTGCAATAGGTAACAATGATCAGGTCCACTTAACCATCTGGGATGGTCCTGAAACATTCTGGATACTCTCAGGAGCACCCACATATTAATCAACAAGTATTTCCCAGTAATCTACAGTGTGACCAGTCTTGCGGTAGACCCTGAGGAGACATGTATCATTTGAGATGCCAGCCTAAAACATGGGCCAAACCACCAGTTTCCTGAAGCATGGGCCGGAACAATAGCTGCTAGACTGCGTTAGGGAACTGAGACCCTCCTAGTCTGTTTCTCAAGGTCTTAATGGAAGGATCTCCTAGAAATGAATCTTCCTTCACTCATCACCTGTACTCAAAGAAAAAAAAACTATAGAATCACTACATCTTTTCAGGGACCACTATAGCTTTTCAGGCGGGAGAAAGATGAGGCTTTCTGCTCCCGTAAAGATTTCCAGCCTCGGAAACCCTGTACAGGGTCCCTATGAGTCGGAACCGACTCCACGGCACATAACAACAACAGCAATAGCTTTTCAGGATCTAGACCTGGGCTACGTCAATATTTCCTCAGGACTAAATAGGTTTGGACATTCATAGAGCAGCCAGTCATGTAATCACTGGCTTTGGGCATCGAGTATAACAATCAATCACATATGTTATTAGTTTTCCCCCAACAGCACGTGTCAAGATGTATGTTTTCAGGTTACCCTTCTTTCCAATTCCCTCTCTACTGCTCAAGTCTCTCTTTGCTTAAATACACTTTTTCCCTTTGATGGGAAAAACCTCGAATGGCTTAATCCTTTAGAGATTGTTACTATGACTTTTTCAGTATGAAGTATGCCATTATAGGTATTACTACTGATAACCATTGAAATGTAAAGGATTCTTAATTTAATTATAATAGAATGAAATGGTTTTCCTTGAAATATATGAAACCCTACTTTTATAAGGAAAAAAAAAAGGCACCAGTAAAGAGAAGAGGAGGACAGGAAAGGGGAAAAAAAATCAAGATTCTAGAAAAGAGCAGAAATTTTTGAGTTACAAAATTTTTTTTAATTAGTTTTAAATATTAATTACTTACGAAAATGCTCATGTTATTAAAGTGATAATAAAGAATTGCTGAATTAGAGAGGTCTTAATTACTATCTAAGTTCATTCTTACCCAGGATCATACAGTTACTCAGTAGCAGAATTAGAACTAGAACCAGGTGTCTGGAGACCCTGAGTAACGGCTTTTTTTGTTTTGTTTTTGTACCAGCTTTATCAAAAATGAGAAAGACTGGTTCTGAAGTAAAGAAAAACCTGTCCCTGCTAGACCTTTAACACAGCCTAGGTCTCCTCTGTACAAACCGCCCAACTCAAATTTGGAACATCAAACCTTGAAAAGAACATGTAGGGCAGATCTAGAAATTATGGATATATTAATTCATTTCTCCAGCAAGACACTTGAAGGCACAGCCATCCTTTCCCCCTCCATAAACCCTTCATGGAGCTGAGTACCCATTAAGTAATTAATTAAGACTTCTGATTAAGACCATAGATAGCTTATATCTGCTGCAGCACTAAGAGACATAGAGACATTTGAAAACAATTGCTGGGCAATGTAGAGGTTTGTTTCCTGTCTCAGTCTTCTGTTGCTGCATAACAAATCATCCCCCAAACTTTGTGGCTTAAAACAATTTGTTGTTACTTCTAATGATACTGTGGGTTGACAGCTCAGCTGGGTGCTTCTTCTGCTTTACATAGTGGAGGCTGCAGTCACATATGGTTACATTTAACTGGCTGTTTGTTTGGGCAGGGAACATTCAACATGGCTATCATTCTTTAGGAGTCCTGGTGTGGTGATGCAAGATAATGCACTGGACTGCAAAGTCAGTTGAACTGTAAGGTCAGCAGTTCAAACTCATCAGCTGCTCCTCGGAAACCCTACACAGGGTCGCTATGAGTAGGAACCCACCTAACAGCAATCATCCTCTAGGGCTCCTCTCCACATGACCTCTCATTGTTTCCCAAGAGTTTCATTGTTTCCCAAGAGTTCTGCCTAAGTTCCTGATCTACAGAATAGTGACAAATAATAAAGACCACTGAGTTTAATAAACCACTGAGTGGTTTATTAAGTGGTGGTGGTGCTTATGTGCTGCTTATGAAGTAGCAACAGATAATTCTCCACTTCTCTTTCCCCTTTCCATTTCCCTTTCTACCACTCCACTCACAGGAACGGTGTCTTCATGCTGTATGTCCTCAGTGCCACGTTTGCAGAAAAACTCGGCTTTCAATTTAATCTACCTTAACTGTTAAATTTGCAGACTGTATTAAAATTAATATGTATTGCTTATTATGTCTTTAAAAAAGGTTCACAGTAGGGTTCTATTGGTATAACAGATAATTGGTATCTCTACTTTACATACCAGGAGCCCTGGTAGTGTAGTAGATGAAGAGCTGGGCACCTCTTCGCAAGGTCAGTAGTTTGAATGTACCAGTGGCTCCACGGGAGAAAGATGAGGCTTTCTGCTCCCATTTTACAACCTCAGAAACCTTATTTAGGGTTGCTATGAGTCAGAACTGATCTCACCTAAGGGGCACACAACCACCACCACCACTGTTATATACAGTATAGGGCATGCAGGAGTATGCTAAGGCTTTCTGTAGCATTTGTAGATTTCCTTACCACATCATTCTGCAGTATTTCCATGGTTTTCTTATGTTCATCCACAGTTTTCTGTATTGCCTCCACAGCAAGATGAACACTGTTTAAAGTATTCCCAATGGAAGCTACACTCTGAACAAAAACATGGAGTAACGTCAGTGTTTTCTTGTTTCCTTAAAAAATGTTTAATAGCTTCACTGAGATATAACTGACATACACAAATAACTGCACATATTTAAAATTTATAACTTGAAAAGTTTGACATATATATAAACCTGTGCAGCCATAACACATCATGATAATAAACATCTATCACCCCTAAAAGTTTCTTCATGCCCATTCACAATGTATTCCTCTCTAACTCTAGGTGATGTAGGATAAGCACTGAACTACAAACCACAAGATTGGCTGTTCAAACCCACCAGTTACTCTTCGGAAAATCTATACAGGGTCATTATGAGTTGGAATTGATTAGACAGCACTTAACAACAACTATCCCTAGGCAAACATTGGTCTATTTTCTGTAATTATACATAAATTTATATTATCTAAAATTTTATAAAAATAGAACCAATATGCACTTTTTTTGTGGTCTAGTTTCTTTCACTTGATATAATTATTTTGACATTCATTTATCTTGTAGTTACTTAGCATGTTGCTGAATAGTATTTCATTATAGAGATATATTAGAGTTGATGGACATTTGGGTTGTTTTCAGTATTTGAGCATTATAAATACATCTGCTATTAACATTCATGTACAAGCTTTTATGTGCACATACGCTTTATCATATGCTTTCTCATCACCACCTTTAAAAACTGTCAAACAGTGTTCCAAAATACTGGTCCCACTTTACATTCTCACTAGCAGTGTATCAGAGAGTGTTCCAATTGCTTCATATTGTCAGTAACAATATGCCATACAGTAATAGTATGGCAGTCTTTTTAATTTTAGTCATTCTAGTGGGATAAAGGTGAGCACTGAGACTCCACACAATAAACACTTGACTGCAAACCACAAGGTCCACAGTTCAAGCCCACCAGCCACTCCTCAATTGAAAGATGAGGCTTTCCGCTCGTGTAAAGACTTAAGGCCTTTGAAACCCTATACAGGGTCACTATGAGTTGGAACTTACTTGATGGCACTTAAGTGGGATAAACACTGGAATAAAAATCACAAGATCAGTAGTTTCAGACCACCAGCCGCTCTGCAGAGAAAGATGAAGTTTTCTGCTACCACAAAGATTTAAAAAGCCTAAGAAACCCGAAACACGGTTGTTCTGAGTTGGAAGTGACTTGACAGCACTTAACAAGAACATACACATATAAGTATACACACACATATAAGTATACACACACACATATATATATATAGTGTATGTGTATATATATATATATAGTATATGTATATATACACACATACACTATGCACACATAAATGTGTGTATATAAATATATATATATTTATATACACACACATAGACACACACTGTATATATATCTATATATAGTTGTTGCTGTTAAGTGCCATCGAGTTGGTTCCGACCCATAGCGATCCTGTATAGGGTCTCCAAGGAGCGACTCATGAGCTTGAACTGCTGACTTTGCGGTTCAAATCGACTTTGCAGTCAGTCAGTCCAGTATATTAACCCACAGTGCCACATCAGGACTCCATCTATCTCTCTATCTCTTATCTCTCTCTATATATACGGAGCCCAAGGTTGGTAGTTCAAACTCACCAGCCTCTCCTCAGAAACCTTATACAGGGTAGCTATGAGTCATTACTAACTCCATGGTACTTAATGACAACAATATATACATACATTATATGGTGGTGGTGTGCCGTGGAGTCGGTTCTAACTCTTGGCGACCCTGTATAGGGTTTCCGAGGCTGTAAATCTTTATGGGAGAAGAAAGCCTCATCTTTCTCCTGCAGAATGGCTGGTAGTTTCGAACTACTGACCTTGAGGTTAGCAGCCTGACTCGTAACCACTATGCTCCCAGAACTCCTTATATATACATATGGTCACTAAGAATTGGAAATTAGGTGGTGGTGGTGAATGAGTTAAAATATTGTGTTTTTAATTTGTATTGTTTTTTTTCAATTTGTATTAAACACTGACCTAAAGAAAGTCAGTTATTTTAATTATTTTAAATATCTTCATACTATGAATTCCATGCTGCTTATATGAAAATCATTAGGAATCAATCAATTTATCTTTCAATCTACCTAAATAACAAGCAATTTTTTCACACTGAAAGGACTTTTCCTAGAGGAAAATGAAGTCTCTTCTTAAAGAAAAGTATACTGGTATATCTGAGCCCCGTAGATAAAGTTCAGACACAAATTGCCTTTGTCAAGCCCTGCTGTAACAGACAGATAATCAGAACTAACATTATATATTGTGACTTGTGTCAGGAGCAAAAGATGACTTTTGAACAAAAATGGGTGGTTATCAATTTTAGCTCTGAGAAGCTCAGCACTGCAAAAATATAGGAAAAAATTCCATATGGCAGCATTTGTTCTTCCCCTAAATGTGGAATCCTGTCGGCAACTAAATAGAGACAGAAATGGCCAGAAGCTAACTTTGTTTACATTAGGCTTAAGGAATCCAACTGGGAATATGATTCAGAATCTGTCTTTTAAAAAAGACTTGTCCTAAGGGAAAATCCAAAAGAATGTTACTATTTGGTGAGTTTGGGCCTTTTATTATGATATGCTGGCAATTTTGGAGTCCTGGTGTAGCACTGTGGATTAATGCACTGAACTGCAATGTTGGTTTGAAGTGCAAGGTGAGATGTTCAAGCTCACCAGCCACTCCTTGGAAACCCTATACAGGGTCACTATGGGTTGGAACGGACTCAATGGCATTTAACAACAACAAAGCTGACAATTTTATCACATTAGTGTTTTTTAACCAAGATGATTTTTATTCTACTAAGCTCTAAGAATCCAAGAGAACAAGATATGACAATTTTTTAAACTGAAAAAAAAAAAAAGCATGATATACACTGAAACCAGGTATTCGGGATGGCCTACCACTTTTGACACTGAGCCACTTGTAATTAAAGCAGCATCTGGCATTATAAATACACAGATTTGCAAAGAGGCAACACATTGGGTAAAAATCCCTAATCTATGAGAGCTATCTATGTGATCACTGTTGTTACAAAAGCCACAGGCATTCAAAGACACCTACTGTTAGAGCATCCTCACCGACTGGATGTAAGAGCCCAGCAGGATGCAAGAAGATAGTGAGCTGTTGTTTAAGGATCTTTTTCTAAGAAGCAGCTGACAGAGCCATGTGAACTCTGGAATGCAACTCTGAAAATGGTATTCCCATCAGCTGCAAAGTGCCTGGCACGTACTGGAGAAAACTCTACAAATGCTTATGGGATTAATGAATGAAGAATAAACAAATTTCTTTTTCTAATGCAAGAATGACAGTTTGCATTAAAAGCTACCTTTTCCCTACTTGGCCCTTGTCAACAATAGCAAGAAGAACTTGGCCTCATCAAAGCTGTTTCTATTTTTTGTTTTTAAGTTGTAAAAGCAAGATGACCATATTGTACAAGCCTCAAACTATGGAGACTAAGCACATACGTAGGTGGTGTGGCTAATAAAAGAACATGTTAGTTTTGCTTCTTTTGCTGCATTTCTCACTCCTTTGTAGAAACAACTTATATGTTTATAGTACCTGGTATATAATCAAAGCAAACATACCACACACTGGCTTTTAAGTCAAAGGATCCTAGATTTGATACTCCCATATTTGGGATCCCCTTGTTCCTCAGTCCCTTTTTCCATTTCCTGCTGATTGACTGATATTCCTTATATTCCAATTAGGTACTTCCTTCTCCCTTTCCAGTGAGCCCAGGTGGCACAGTGGTTTGGTCAGCTAGGCTGCATAACAAAAGGTTGGTGGTTTGAACCCACCAGCTGCTTCCGTAAAAATTAGAACCTAGGAAACGCTACGGGTGCAGTTCTACTCTGTTCTATAGGGTCACAGTGAGTGGGATTGACTCAACAGCAGTGGGTTTAGTTTGCTTTTGGTTGTTCTTTTCTACCCCTCCCACTCTCTTCCTCTACAGCTAAGGATCCTTGAGTAGTATGCATCTGGTTGGTCTTTGTCTCCTGTTCTAACCCTGAATCCTAGAGATTAAGTAAACAGAAGCTCTGAACTGTTGTTTGTATAAGTGCTAGAGCCTGGGGTATATATATACAAACTTCCTAGAGGAAGGACGTGTTCAACTATACAAAACATTTTTTCCAAACTGATATGACCAATTTACATTCCTGCTAGAAATGTTGAAAGTTTCCTTTGCTCCATATCCTTACTTATCATATCCTATTTAAAATTTTTACATTTCTCCAGATCACATTTTTAGAAGAAAATTCTTATTTTAGCCTTGGGAAATAAGTTTTAGAGCAACAGTTTTAGCCTTGGGAAATAACAGTTTCAGATATAAATCAGGTATATCTGATCTGCTTTCCTAAAGACATAAATGATGAATTGGAAAGGCATGTGATGAAAGAAAACCCATCATATGTTAATACAAGTGTCTCAGCAGAGCATTTCTGGGACTCACAGAACCAAATAAAAAGGTGTAAATCCATATAAACCATGGCTAAAGTAATCTGTTGCAAATTAAAATCCCAAAATGGCGCTGTGGGTTAATGCGTGGGACTGCAAAGTAGTTTGAACTGCAAGGTCAGCGGTTCAAGCTCATCAGCCGCTCCTTGGAAACCCTACACATACAGCATTGCCATAGGTTGGAACCGACTCGACGGGACTTAACAACAACACAACCAGACCAAAATAAAGTTGTCCTGAAATCTTTAGAATACAGTGACGTATTCCACACGCTATTATTCTTTTCAACCAGCTGATTTCAAATGTCAAGTTTTCAAAGAAAACGTGTAAGCAGCTAGAATTAAATCTAGAATAAAGCAGTAGTTAATCTTAGTGCCCACATACAGTACTTACCTTTTGAAGTCCCTCTACAGTGGCGGGCAGGCTAATTAAGTCGGAAGCTGACTTAACATTGGCTTTGAGGTGGTTTACTGCAGAAGTCAAGAGAATAACCTGAAAGGAAAAAAAGGAACAAACAATGGAAACGGAATTTGTAGAGTACTTTCTTCATAAACTCTACAGTTGAAGATGTTGTCCAGGAACCTTGGATTTTATTTTATGCCTTTCTGAGATCCAGATGTTTGGCTCAGTCAGCTCAGGGCAAAGAACTATAGTACTTAGGACAGACTTGAGAAAGGAAGGCAACAATAATACCCTTTCTTTCTCTGCTCAGTTTAAACATTAGTGCCAGAGAGGGAAATGTAAGTATTTTCTTTTTCCTAGCTCTGGCAGCTACAAGATCTAAAAAGCTTAAATTACCCAAAAGATGCAGTGATTACAATACAATCTTTCAACAATTGGACAGAAAAGAAGCTAATGATCAAGGTCCACTAAAGATTTCATTTTTGTAAAAAATAACACCTCAGAAATACACTGAACTTTTGTTCTTACCCAAGTGGGAACATATGTTATAAAGTAAAAGGCCATCATCACAATATACAGTCTACAAGAACTGGATCTTGACAACCTGAACAGCACTTTCAACTACTTGGGGATTTAGTTTTGGTTTAACAATGTGATTAATATTTCAAACTCAATAGCTCAACCAAAGTACTACTTTGTACCCTGAAGGGGCTCAATAAATACCTCTGACTCACTGACTGATGCAATAAATGTATTAAAATAGGACCTGAATGAAAATAAAATGTGGCTTTCTCTTCTGCTACTTAGGAGTAGAATTCTTAAAAGCTGGACTTGTGGCATTGAAAAATGTAAGAAATACGTAGACTGTATATGTTTGGTAATATGGAGGGGAAGGGAACACTAAGATATATCTGGAAAACAAAATAGAAAAGAAAAGCCATTAAAAAAAACTTCTAAAATTCAAATATATAGGAATCTCACAATAATGCAATATAATTAGGCAGAAATCATGACATGAAGTCCTCTGGGCTCCTTTATTTTCTAATCTCTCTTGAATGAAAAGTAGAGGAAACCTGTATAGTAACTCAATTCTAACCTATAGACAACCATTCTAATAAGACTTGCAGTACGGCTAAAAACATCCTTGAAAAATGCTTAGTTCTAAACTGCTTTCCTGTCCCAAATTCTAGGATGAAGGCACAGGATCTACCAATAACATTTACATTTAGAGTAACCTCAGAGATCAGAGTAACCACTAACGTTTCTGGGCACTTGTTATACACCCAGCACTGTGGTGGGCACCAAGCAGGAATCAGAGAGACTTTAGTACCACCAAGAAAGAAGAGTGAGGAGGTTCCCCTGGCTGTGAACCTTCTAGACCCAGGGGAAGACTGATGCCAAGACAAAGACATCTCCAAGGGATACCATACCCACAGATGTTGAAAAGAGGTAAGGGCCTACTCCCAGAGCTAACAGAGGGAAAGCTGTCTCCTAGAGCTGATGCCCTGAATTTGGACTTCTAGACTCCTAAACTATGAGAAAATAAATTTCTGCTTATAAAGCCAACTACTTGTAGTATTTCTGTTACAACACTTCTAGATAACTAAGACAATAACCTGTCAAAACATGAAATGTTTATATTCTTTAGCTCAACGATTTCACTTACAGAAATCTATCCTAAAAGATAATTTGCAACTTCCAGGGCAAGATGGCGGTGCAAGCAAACATGCTCAGCAGATTCCTCTACAATAAGGATAGGGAAGACACCAAGTAAAACTGATAAATATGGTGATCCTGGAACCCTGAGCGTCAGAGGATAGGACAAAAAGGTGGACTGGATGCCGACTGGAACAGGAAGCTGAATAAAAGCAGCAAGAGAGAAGAAAAATGGGTGGACTAGGAGCTCTGGTAGTGTAGTGGTTACGAATAGGACTGCTAACCTCAGGGTCAGCAGTTTGACATTACCAGCTGTTCCGTGGGAGGAAGATGAGGCTTTCTGCTCCCATAAAGATTTACAGCCTCAGAAACCCTGTACAGGATCGCTATGGGTCGGAACCGTCTCCATGGCACGTAACAACAACAACATCAGCTGGTCTGGCACAGTACCGCCATCTTAAGCTTTTGCAGGTGGAAGTCAAGACAGCAGCCTGAAAGCACAGGATGAGACTACAGATTGGCAGCAAGGTGCAGTTTTTCCTTGTTCCCTGAGCCCTTTTGGTATCCAGCAACTTGGCTAGTCCTCACCTTCACTAACCCAATGACCAGTGACACCTCCTCCTACACACCCTCTGTTCTTCCTGGGGTTGAGCACCCCTATATCTGGAGGTATGTGTACTCTGCCCTAACCTAGCAAGCAGAGAACTTCGCTCACACTTCCAGTCTCTACCACATCCACCAACATATAATTATCAATTAAATAATAATTTAATCAAGGATACCACAATGTCTAAGAGAAAATAAGACAATTTCAGCTAATACAAAGAAACAAGACAGAGTGGCTCAAACAAATGACCAAAATACAGCCAAAAAATATAACACCTGAAATTGTATTGGAACTATCTGATAAGGAATTTTTTAAACTTCTGATTGTGAACTGAGTGAAGGTTTATAGAGCATATTATCAGTTTTACATTCATCATACACTTTGTTTTATCTCAATGATTGCAATCCCCGTCACATAACAACAGTTATCCCACTTCTTCCCTGTGATCCTTATTTCCAAATCACCCTCTTGATAAAGAATTTAAAAGAATAGTTACCTTCAATGGATTGATAGAATGATCAAGAAAACTGCTGATGAAACCAAGGAAAACACAGACAAAATTTTATAAGAATTCAGGAAAACAATACAAGGACAAATTGACAAAATAAATGAAAAAATTTGAAATCCTACAAAAGCAGCAATTAGTAAGACAAAAGGGATTAATAGTAAGATATAGATTGAGATAATACATTAAAAGGGCAAAAAAGTAGAATTGAATCAATGGAAGGCTGCATTAATGAGCTGGAGGGTAAATCAATATTCATCTGCTAGAGGAACAATCAGAAAAAATAACAAAAAAATCTGAAGAAAGCCTATGATTTTCAAAATCAAAGACAACAAAAAAATCCTGAGACCAGCTCAGGAAAAAGTAAAAGTTTCCTATAAAGGAGAAACAATAAGATTAAGTAGATTTCTTAGCAGAATCCATGTAGACCAAGAGGACAATGGGATGATATATATAAAACTCTTGAAAGAAGAAGAAGAAGAAGAAAAAAAGCCAACCAAGAATCATACACCCAGCAAAACTGTCCATCAAATATAATGGTGAAATTAGGATACTTCCAGATAAACAGGAATTAAAAGAATTAGCAAAAACCAGACCAACCTTACAAAAATACTATAAGGAGTTCTTTGGACAGAAAACCAACAGCAGACAACAACTTGCAATTAACATACATGATAACGTCACACAGAACTCAACACAGATACAGAAGCTGAGTAAACAAACCTACAAGACTGAAAATAAGGAACCAAAGTTTGCAACAAAGAAACATAAAGTAACAGAAAGGAATAATGTAGCTACAGAGCTCCCAAATGAAGAGGAAGTTAAATAGCTTTCAAGAAAACAAATAATAAACCTAACTGTAACCCTAAAACTAGTCCAAGCCTTACTTACTCCCAGCCCTAGTCCAACTCTTACCTCTACACATTAACCTTAGTCCTACCCATAACCCTAACACTAAACCAAGTCCTAGGCCTAACCTAGACCTAGCCATAGTCTTAATCCTAACTCCTTACTCTTATCACCCCCCTGAATAAAATTTAAAAATTGAAATTTAAAAGAAAAAAAAAAAAGACTATTTGTTTACGTGCACAAAGATGTATGCACAAGGGTATTCGCTGTCTCCTTATTTGTAATAGAAAAACAATAGAAATAATCTAAATGTTCACCATTAAGCGTGTAGATAAAGTCAGTGAACAAAGCAAGCTACAGAACATATACTGAATGAGCCCATTTATTTATATACACACACCTATAAACTAATTCATATTAAAAGTTATGATTTTGCAAATACGTAGAAAGGGGACTGGAAAGACACAACTCAGACTATTGACAGTGAACATGGATGGGACAGGAAAATATGTGAGAATGTGTGTGTGAGAGAGAGACAGACAGAGATGGAGGACACAGAAAGATGGGGATGACAGGGAATTTTCATAGCAACTCTTATGTAGTTCATTGTTTAAATCTTATACAATGAGGATATATTTACATCTTGAAGAATTCTTTTAAAAAGACAAAAGATAGGAAAGAAATACACACCTAGAAAAAAGACATCATGCAACAGTAAATGGGGTTTGATAGGTTTCTGTGGTTGGTTCTTTCCTCCGTACCCTCTAATGGGTCTTCCAAAACCACCTTACCATGTTCAATCATAAAGGAATGTTTTACTTAGTGTACAAAACTATGTACACAGCTGAAGACTAATTTGATGGGCAAGAACATAATTCTTTCAAATGCCTGATTAATTATGTGGTTATCTTTTGGTTACCTAAGGGAACAATAAATTCCTTCCATTGGCATCTTCCAAGACCTTAATAGGACAATAAGCTGTGGTCTGGGTGGAGTGATCTGGGAGAAAATTATTTTCCTAGGTATTGCAATGTCCTGAAACTATGGCAGAATGCACTGCTAGCCAAAATTATCTCAAAAAGAGCTCATCAACTCACCAAAAGGCCAGAGAAGCTGTTTGGCAGCTGTCACTTCCCCCAAACCAGAGGAGCAGTTGAAAGCCAATACAAGCAGGACAAGGTGAGGTACTGTTCCCCACTCCCTCCTCCCATGGCTCACATTAAGCCTAGAGTATCAGCTGCCTCTATGTCTGGTTACTCTCCAATTGTCAAGTATCACTTAGGACTTTTTACTGCAAAACTAGATTTCATCTTTTAATGTTCCTCTCTTCAGTGGAATAATGTCAAAAGAGAAGGAAAACTACAGCAAATCAACAAATATAATGAAAATAGAGAGATATGGGGTATCTTACCATTGCTGGTGACCACTTTGGCCTCTGATTGACACAACTTCAAAACGTTTGCACAGTACACA